TCGAGCTGGGGGTTGGACTAGATGACCTCCGAGGTCCCTTCCAACTCTCTTATTCTATGATTCTGTAAGGGTCTCCTGCTCGAGCAGGGGGTTGGACTAGATGACCTCCGAGGCCCCTTCCAACTCTTGTCATTCTATGATTCTATCAAGTTCTCTTGCTTGAGCAGAGGGCTGGACTAGATGACCTCCGAGATCCCTTCTGTCATTCTGTGATGCTGTCAAGTTCTCTTGCTCGAGCAGGGGGTTGGACCAGATGACCTCCGAGGCCCCTTCCATCTCTGTCATTCTATGATTCTGTAAGGATCTCATGCTTGAGCAGGGGGCTGGACTAGATGACCTCCGAGGTACCTTCTGTCATTCTGTGATGCTGTCAAGTTCTCCTGCTCGAGCAGGGGGTTGGGCTAGACGACCTCCGAGGCCCCTTCTATCTCTGTCATTCTGTGATTCTGTCAAATTCTGATGCTCGAGCAGGGGGTTGGACTAGATGACCTCCAAGGTCCCTTCCAACTCTTGTCATTCCGTGATGCTGTCAAGTTCTGCTGCTCGAGCTGGGAGTTGGACTAGATGACCTCCAGGGTTCCTTCCAACTCTGTTCTGTGAAGTTCTCTTGCTTGGGCAGGGGTTTGGACTAGATGACCTCCAGAGTCCCTTCCAACTCTGTCATTCTCTGATTCTGCCATGTTCTGATGCTCGAGCTTGGGGTTGGACTAGATGACCTCCGAGGTCCCTTCCATCTCTGTCATTCTGTGATTCTATCAAGTTCTCTTGCTTGAGCAGAGGGCTGGACTAGATGACCTCCGAGATCCCTTCTGTCATTCTATGATGCTGTCAAGTTCTCGTGCTCGAGCAGCGGGTTGGACTAGACGACCTCCGAGGTCCCTTCCAACTGGGTCATTCTGTGATTCTGTAAGGGACTCATGCTCGAGCTTGGGGTTGGACTAGATGACCTCCGAGGTCCCTTCCATCTCTGTCATTCTATGATTCTGTAAGGATCTCATGCTTGAGCAGGGGGCTGGACTAGATGACCTCCGAGGTACCTTCTGTCATTCTGTGCTGCTGTCAAGTTCTCCTGCTCGAGCTTGGGGTTGGACTAGATGACCTCCGAGGCCCCTTCCATCTCTGTCATTCTTTGATTCTGTAAGGGTCTGATGTTTGAGCAGGGGGTTGGACTAGATGACCTCCAGGGTCCCTTCCAACTCTGTCATTCTATGATTCTGCCATGTTCTGATGCTCGAG